AAAAAAGATACCATAATAGAGGGGCCAGTATAGATAAAGAGAAATGTGGTACTAGGTAACTGTCCAGAGCCCTACAAGAATTAACTCCAACTAGCAATCTAAGCAATAGTGTTGAGGCTACCTTAAATGCCCTTCCCCAATAATAAGAGTGATGACTACCTTATATGTTATCCTAGTAGCTAATGGATACAGAAGCAGACATCCACAGCTAATCACTGAGCCAAACTCCTGGAATCCAGTTGCAGAGAGGGAGAAGTGATGAGCAAAGGGGTCAAGATGAAGCTGGAGAAACCCACAGAAGCAGCTGCCCTGAACAAGGGGGAGCTCATAGACTCCAGACTGATGGCTGGGAAACCATCATAGAACCAACCCAGACCCCTTGAACTTGGGTGTCAGTTAGGAGGACTGGGCAGTCTAAGAGGGGCCTCTGGTAGTGGATCAGTATTTATCACTAGTATATGAATGGACTTTGGGAGCCCATTCTACATAGAGGGATACTCCCTCAGCCTAGACACATGGTAGAGGGCCTAGACCCTACTCCTAATGATGTGACAAACTTTGAAAATCCCCCATGGAAGGCCTCACCCTCACTGGGGAGCAGAAAGGGGATGAGATATGGGGTCAGTGGGAGTCAGGGGAGGGAGAGGGAATTGGGATTGACATGTAAAACAAGATTATAATATAAATAAAAATTGTAGAAAAAAAATGGTATCTTGAAATTTGCAGGCAAAGGACAGAACTAGAAAAAGTCATCCTGAATAAGATAATACCGACCAAGAAAGACAAATATAATATGTACTCACTCACAAGTGGATATCAGACATAAACCAAAGGACAACCAGCCTACAGGCCACAACCCCAGAAAACCTAGGTAACAAAAAGGACCCTAAGAGAGACAAAATGGATCTGCCTAGGATGGGGAAAAAGAAAGATCACCTGAGTAAACTGGGAACATGTAGGCGCAGGGAGTGAAAAGAGAGAGGGGAGTGGGGGAAAATGTATAACTCAATAATAAAAAAAAAAATGGCAAAAAAAAAGTCTAAACTAGTCATTCTCAACTAAGTCCACTTTGTCAGGGAACATTTGAAGATGTCTGTGAATATTTTATGTTTTTCAGTGTCATAAACTGGGGATATGAAAAAGACAATTATTGTCACCTGCATCTGGTAAACCCAAGACAACAAACATACAGAACACAAATTGTCATCCAGGTCAAACTACCAATAGTACCAAAATTGAGAACATCTTGTTCTAAACTTTTCCAAATACAAGAGCATATTGCCTTTATTGATATTATTAATATATACTTTACAAAGTCATGTCTATCCAATCCAGTCATGTCTTAGATAAGGTTTCTCTTAATGTGACTATAACCATAGCCATAACCAAAAGTAACTTGGGAAGGAAAGATTTACTTCAGTTCATAATACATAAGGCATCACTGTCACAGAAATAGGAATTCAGAACAGTAATTTGGAGAAAGGAATTGGAGCAGATGCAGCAGAAGTTACTTACTGACCACTAGCTCATAATGCTTTCTTACCACACCCAGGACCAGCAGCCCAGCAGCAGCACTGACCACAATAAGTTGGGCCCTCCCACCACATCAATCATCAATCAAGAAAATGCACCAAAGGCTTGCCCTCAGTCCAGTCCAATCTGGTGGGGGCATTTTCTCAATTGAGGTAAGTTCTTCTAAAAGGACTCTTAACTTGTGTCAAGTCAAAATAAAAGTAGCCAGCAAAAGTCAGCTCTATCTTTCCCAATAATCTCAATCTGTGCTATCTTAACAGCATCTCACCCACTGAACTGTTTAACCAGCTCTCCTTTGACCATTACATGGATACCATGGCATGCAATCAAACCCACCAACACACACCCATTCACATATCATACATAAACATACAATAATAAAATTTTGTTAATGCACATATTTATAAATAAGAATTTCTAATCAAACCCCTCCTTCTCTATTGCTATGCTATCACTTTACATAAGTAGATTACTCAAATCTACTGCTTTCTTCACATGGCATTTTCCCTGGGTTTTTAAAACCAAATTTCTCTCTTCTGAAAAAGATAACAGTCAGGGTTGGGGATTTAGCTCAATGGTAGAGTGCCTGCCCAGGTTCAGTCCTGAACTCCAGAAAAAGAAAAGAAAAAAAGGTAACAGTGATTGGATTAAATCCCACCTAATTCAGTCTGACCTCATCTTAAACCGAATTACAACTATAAACATTCTATTTCCAACTGGTTTATAATTGAGTTCTGAAAATTAAGAAATGTCTACATATTTTGGAAATTATACATTCACCCCACAAAACTGTAGGACCCCAAGGCACCTTGAGCTAGCCTGAAGCTGTTGGCATGAACTCCTTGCCCCAAGGCTGTTGTTGGTACTCTTCCTGTTTTGATAACACACCTCATGACAACACACCCCTTGATAACACACAACTTGTGACAACACATACCTCATGACAACACATACCTTGTAGAGAGGAGCTAAGCCTAAAATTCCTGTAATTTTTCCACTGTGCTATCAGTCGGTATTTAAGCCCGTTCTTGCCCCTCAATAAACGGCATTCGGCATTTGGCGTTCCGACATTGCCATTGAACGAATGACCCGCTGCCTTGTCTTTATTTCAATCTCTAGGCCTTCGCCCGATTCGTGAAAGAGATGGTAGTGTGGGCACTACACAAAACCCCTACAATCACTTTCCACACAGGAACCATAACGAGGGAACACACGCCTTGTCTCTGTTTCTCATTAACCTCTTCCTTCCTCTCCAACTTCATCTCTTGGCAAAGTCTTCTTGTACACCAGCTATACTGACCTCTATGTACTTCAAACAGGCCAACCTCATCCCTGCTTCAGGCTTCTGTCTAGACATTTTTGTATCTCCTTTTCACCATTCAAGTCAAATCAGAAGTGCCACTTCCTCACAAGAGTCTATCTGCTTAAGTAGGAGACCACTTATCAAAAGCAGAACATCAAACATCCCAGTGGCATTCTCTTTCACATAAATCCAATTTCTTTGCAGCATTTAGAAATGACATCAATTATTCAATTATTCCCCTAAGTTTTCTTCTACTTCTTTTCTGGTCCATTCAAAATTTAATCAATTTGGAATCCATCTCTATATGCTCAATATGCTTGAAAAACAGATATCCCTCAGATGATTCCAATATAAAGTCTACCAACACAAAGAGTTCTGACCTCTGGAGCATCTAGAGAGAGGCTCAGACAAGTGGATCACAAATTCAAGGTCAGGGTTCTGAAAAGATGGCTCAGCAATTAAGAGAAAACTAGCTGCTCTTCAGGAGGACTCAAGTTTGATTCCCAGACATGGAAGCTAACAATTATCTGTAGCTCAATTCCAAAGTATTCAATACCCCCTCCTGTCCTCTGAAGACACTGCACCCATGTAGTACACAGACACACAGGCAGGCAAAACAGTCATAAACATAAAATAAAAATAAAGGGTTTTTTGTTTGTTTTAGGTCAGCTAAGCTACATAGTTTTAGCCCAAAACAGATCTGACCTTTTTAAAAAGCTCAGATCCTTCTTTGAGACATATGCAACATTCTATAAACCAACTCTCTCTCCCATAATAGTCCCAAACCCCTGCAGCTGATTCCACCTCACCTTGTCCTCTGACCACACCAAAAAGCACTAACGGACCATCTAAGGATTGAACACACTCTCCCTACTGCTTAATGAAATCCTATGACTGCTTTATTACTACTATGTATTTGGCAATTTTTCAAAACTCTATAATTATTATTATTTATTATCATTGTGTTGGTGCTTTGTGTATGTTTGTGAAAGAACCAGGCCTCAGCAGAACTGCAGCCATAGCACCACAACCTGAACAGGATACAGTGCCCCCCCACTGACTGCCCTGACCTTAGCCCTACTTTACAGAAAGAACCATAAACACCTCCCATCACAGAGAGAGGTCAATCATAAATGGACAAGCAACTCCAGATGTTCTTCAGCTAAGACTAAAATATTACAGGGCTTGAGCTAATCTCAAGTCTGTAACTATACAGTTTTGGAATCTCCCAAAACCCAATCCCCCAACCACAATAAAAGCCCTCTCCCTGTTCTGATCCAGGTCTGATCCCTGTTCTGCTACTGTTTCAGATGGGTGGAGAGGCCCAAGCTAACTAACTCGTGATGAAGACTGCTTTTGCATCACATTTGGTATCTTTGACAGTCTTTATGGGTCAGGAGACTTTGGGCACAACATTTGTGTATGTATCATATCTAGACTAGTTACTGATGGTTGAGAACCGACCTCCAGCTCAGTTCTGAGATTCTAACCACTGGTCCTCTAGAAGAGCAGCCAGTGCTCTTAACAACTGAACCAACTCTCTCCAACCCCTTGTTGTTAATTATCCATTTGTATAATCTCCCAAGCCAGAAATGAGAAACAAAAGACAAAAATTCATTTATTCGCTAGCTTACCAACACCAATGCCTGACACACATTAAATATGAAGTGCTAACTTAATGAGCAATATATGTTAGTTCTAGAACATTATTTTCTTTAAAATTTGGAGAGACGAAAAATTGTTGTCCCTGCTTTTTCATTTTGTTCAAATTTGGGGAAGTCGTTAGCGGCTCTGCCCTTGACCTAAAGAAACTTACCAGATTCCTAAGCAAAATAACAGTCCCAACACTTGAACAAAGGAAGAGAGGAGCCCTTTGTGAGGTGAAGGTGCAAGCCTAACCGCCAACGTTGAAGGACGACGGTTTCCCCATACTGTGAGATGGTATAAACTGGATGTCTCCAACCGACCAGACAACAATTTTGAGGAAACTAAGAGAAGCTCCCGACAGGAAGATGAAGCGTGAAAAAAGCAAGAGAGCTCAGTAGGGACTGTAACTTCAACTTCATCCCACACTGCTCCTACCTCAATATGCTCTGTGAGTGCTGGCGCCCATCCCCACCCCTCGAGAGTCCCACGCAACTGAATTCCCCCGGCCAGGACTCACCTCGCGGGGCCGCTTCGCCCAAGGGCCGTCTCCCAGACCCGCTCCACCAGCGTCAGATCTCAGAACTCCACATTTGAGTCCGACCGCAAGGATACCCAATTCATTGCACCACCACCCAACCTCGGGCTTCCGTAGGCCACTGACCCCATAACCCCGGATGTTGATATGCTGTGTGCCCCGGAAGCGGTGGCCCCGAGGCCCTTGTGGGGCCTAAAGCGGTGTTGCCCATCTCTCCGGAAGGAGACGTGGCGGCGGTTGAGTCTCCTACACTGAGGACGCTTTGTACTCCTGCCGCCGCCTCCTTCTCCTTCTCCTCCGCCTGTTCTCTAAGAGTAGAGGAGGTTGTGAAAGCGGCTGGAGGACGTAGCGACTGATGGAGGAAGGAGGCGGCGGCGTGCGGAGCCTGGTCCCCAGAGGGCCGCTGTTACTGGTCCTGTGCGGTCTACTGGAGGCGTCCGGCGGCGGCCGAGCACTGCCCCAGCTCAGCGATGACATCCCCTTCCGCGTCAACTGGCCCGGCACCGAATTCTCTCTGGTCAGTGCCCTCGCTAGCCGCAGCAACGAAGAATTCAAGCCAAGCCCTCAGTTTTCCTAGCTTTCCCTTCCAGAACCTTTTTTCACCCAACCATTTATCCTTTGCAAGCAGAAGTGTCTTCGTTCGTTCATTCATTGATTCATTCTGCACACTATGTGGATGTGCCATTCTTAGTAAAATCTAGGAAATCCAATGATCACTTTCTCTCCCTCCTTTAAATTCCTTTGCTCGAGACCTGGCTTCCCAAAAGTCCCACTCTGTTGAGAAAGACTTAGAATTACGATCACACCACCCTATGCACACTACCGTCCAGCACACACGAGCCCTATCGCTATTCATTCTTCCTCTCCAACCCATACTTAGAAATAATTGATACAGACGTTTGGCTTCTGGAAATCTTTTCCAAGTCATTTGAAGGGGCTGTTTGTCTTGGAAGACGTGTGCTCTTAACAATACCATATTCTCGTTTATTTCAGAGGGACATCCTGGAAAAAGCAAAGGGGTTTTTTGGTTTTGTTTTTTTTTTAAATTACATTCCAATTACATGCCATCATTCAAGTTGAGCCAATTTTATTGTATTACTTCCTTACTATTCCATTGAGACATTAATAGATATTACTATGATGCCAAGACAGTATGTACTATATATATATATATATGTATGTATGTATATATATATATATATATATATATATATATATATTTTCTCAGTGGCAAAGCACTAGCCTAAGGCACAAGCCTTCAGGTGGACAGCAGCACCTCTGAATTACTAAATGATGATATCACCATCACCACATCTCTTGTTCTTTGCCTTATGGTTTGCTTATACTGTATTTTGTGCTCCATATGTTTCTCTACCTTTCTGTTACATTCTGACCATATTTTTGTATTCACGTAAACATGTCTCAGGAAAGTTAGGACTTTGCATTAATGCCATGATCTATTGATTTTTTTATTTTTATTGATCTTCAGTGTTAAAACACTTGTACAAAACATTATACAAGGAGGAGATGGCAACAAAATCTAAGGTGGACATATTTGAAGACTTGGGAGTTTTAGGCTATTTGTTTTTCTTTTTGTTTAGTCTGAATTATTTTGAGAAAAATCTAGATGCTTTCTCTGAATTGGGACAAGAGCCATATCCTTGTACAAAAGTTAGCTTTCAATAGTTGATACTTCTGTAAATACTTCTGTAATCTTAATACTTCCCTTCCATGCTTTACTTAATTGAAATAACTGCCTGCTTCACATGGTTGCTGAATCTTTTTATGGGTCAGTTGGTTGGACATTTGTAAATAACTCAATAGCTGTGGAACTAGGATAAAGTCTTTTGTCAATAACATCCATTTGGGACACTGAGTTGAAATAGCTCAGTTTATTTAGCTGTTGTTGTAGTTGCTTTTCCTGCTTTTGTTGAGACAAGGTCTCATTGGCTTCTATCTTGAAGATACCCTCTGCCTCAGCCTTCAAAGACATGGGATTATGGATTATAGGCATTCAGTACTATAACTGACTCTTCTCGCAAAATATATGAATGAAAATAATGAAAATTATATCTTGTAAAAATGATTTAAATTATGCCTAAGGATTCTTATAAGGGACTCACTGGTCCAGAACAGTTTTACTGTTGCATCCACTGTATTGAAAACTAGCCAGGAGATGGTGACTCATACCTTTATCCCAACTCTCTGGAGGCAGAGGCAGATGGATCTCTAAGTTTGAGGCCAGCTTGGTCTACATAGCAAGTTCTGGGCCAACCAGGACTGTACAATGAGGCCCTGCCTCAATAATATTTATTAAAATAGTCTTTTAATAAACTAAAAATAATCATCTCCCAAGCAGGTGACACATTCCTCTAATCCCAATACTTGATAGGTAGAGACAAAAGGAATGTTAGGGTCTGAGAGAAGCCCCCAAGAAAAAAACAATAGCCTTCTGTCAGAAGACTGTGGTAACCTGCTGAGCCAGCAGAAGGTCAAGAGGACACCTTTTGACTTGTTGCCCAAGTTGTGGTTCTACCCCAGAACTGTTTACTCAGCTCCAGTAAACTGAAACTAAAACCTAGAAGGGACCATTAGAAACTTGTCATGGTTCTGATCTGGCCCATTGACCCTCTCAAGGATCAGAAGTTCAGTGCTAGCTTAGTTCGTTATATAGCAGGTTTGAAGCTAGCTTGCGTTACATAAGAACCTGTTTCCAGAAAGTAAATAGAATTTGGTCCCACAGCTCTTAATCTTCAAATATTTTGATTACCTTATCACCTATAGTGGCCTTTTAAACAAGTATCCTTGGTCATTAAATATATATAGCAATCTTTAGAATGTATGTTAATAAAGGCTGGCAAAAGAGAGAAAGGGGGTGGCACTTGCTTTAAAGGGGAAACTGAGTCCCCTATCCAGCCCCGTAATGAGTGACATGGTCATCCACGTCCTGCCCATAGTCAGAGGGCGGGGTCAGCAGACTGCTGGTTTCCAACATTCCCACCTCTTATTATTAAAAAGGTGGGGGTTGGGCATGGCAGGTTAGGGAATAAGGATGTTCTCAAGACTGCTTCCTGCTGACTTGGGGGATGTTCATCATCTTTGGGGAATGTAAGAAAGCTGGGGTGCTGCCACATCCTGAAAGCTGGTTGTTTCATCGCAGTCCTGATAGTGTGGAACTCTGGCATCTTTTTGAGCCAGATGTTGGTAGAGTAGAGGACAAGGTTAAGTTTAGAAAAACTGGTACTTGAGGGGAAAATTGTAAGATGAGGGAGGGGTTGGGAGGTGAGGGAAGGGAGTCTTGGGACCAGGGAAAGCTTGAATATTTATTTGGAGTGAATCTGACCTGTTTGGATGGGTCTAATTTGGCTCCCTGGATCTTACAAGAATCTTTTAAGTTTGTGAAAACATAAATATTAAGACACATTAGCAGCATACTCATGTTAGACATGATTTAGCTGAAAGAATTAACACATACAACTGACAGATCTTTAGCCAATGAAAAGCACCTTAATTTTGAGCTTGTAGTTACAGTTATGATCATATAGTGTGTTTAGTTCTCTGTCAGAATTAGATTAGTAACTCATTAAAACTTTATTGATTAATGTTAAGACTATAAACATTAGCAACCTTAAAATACCCGTTTCTGAAATCTGTTTTGTAACAGTTAGAGCCTTGGCTGCTGCTTTAAGCTGACAAAGCTACCAGTCGTCAGAAGCATCAGAGTTCTTGAGAAGAATAATCTAGATTCCATATTCAGCATCACCAAAAAAGTAAACTAGGGTAGCCTCAAACTCAGAGCAACACACCTGCCTCTGTCTCTGAAGTGCAAGGCTTAAAGGTGTATCCCACAGTGCAGCCTCATAGTGCTTCTTAATTAGAATTTTAAACTTCAACTAATTACATTACTAGTTTTCCTTTAGATCCCAAACTTTATTTTTTCTGTTACATTGGACAACAGGATACAGTTTATCTCCACTTTAGCATTTAAAATATATGTATAATATTGCCTGCCTTTGAAAGTATGCTTTCAAGCGTGGTGGTGCATGCCTTTAATCCTAGCACTCAGGCAGAGGGAGGCGGATCTCTGTGAGTTCAGACTATCCTGGTCTACAGGATACAACCTTATGCTTTCTCACTACCTTAGTTCATGCCCTTTTCTTTCTCCTAAAATGCCCTAACTGCCTCTTATCCATCCTTCAAGGCAATGACTTCTTTCAAGATGAAACAGGAGAGGCAGCATGGTAAAATGGAAAGGACACCAGCCTAGGAACCAGGAGGCTGAGGTATAGGCTACAGAGCTAGATCCAGGACAGCTAAGACTGTTACACAGAGAAATCCTGTCTCGAAAAACAAAACAAAACAACAACAACAACAAAAAAAAATCTTCCATTGAAATGATAATTCATTTGAGGAATCTTTGTTCTGACTAGTAGTGAATTGATTCAGTGTAATACACTTTAACTGAAAAAAAAATGTATATTTTTTATTCTGTTTCTAGCCTACATCTGGAGTATTATATAAAGAAGATAATTATGTCATCATGACAACTGCACATAAAGAAAAATACAAATGTATACTTCCTCTTGTTACAAGTGGGGATGAGGTACGTTTTTTTATACATTGCTGATTCCTCTCATCAAATATATGTATTTTACAACCTTATAGTCATATACCTTAAGGTTCTCAACAACCTTGTAGCATAAAAATATTAATCCCTTATTACTGTTTTCTTTGATTTGGGGTTCATTTTGGAAAAATTAGCAACCAGCTAGGTGTGGTGGTTCAGACCTGTAATCTCAACACTCAAGAGGCTGAGGGAGAAGAATTGTCATGTGTTTAAATGGCCTACATTTTGAGACCTTGTATAAAATTCCAAAAGGGTGGGGAGAGGACTAAGTTATACTGTTTTGAAAAAGAAGCTAATTCTGTGCTTGTTTTCCTTTATACAAATGATGGTTTTCAAACACAATATAGTATTTTAATGAAAACTTTGCATAAAGAATTTCTTATAATAAATAATTCTCTAGGTACCTTATGCTTTCTCACTACCTTAGTTCATGCCCTTTTCTTTCTCCTAAAATGCCCTAACTGCCTCTTATCCATCCTTCAAGGCAATGACTTCTTTCAAGATGAAACAGGAGAGGCAGCATGGTAAAATGGAAAGGACACCAGCCTAGGAACCAGGAGGCTGAGGTATAGGCTACAGTTAGCTGTGGATCCCTGAACAAATTTGAAACTCCTCCACTCAATGAATTTATTAAGCCAATTTATATTTTCATGATCTGTAAAGTAGAATATTAAACTCAATGCTTTGCTTAAGTTTTGTTCATATTTGAAATCTGTCCAACAGGACCGCTCCATGCTATTTTAAGCACCTTTAAAACAATATAAACCCACATAAACCACACAGGTGGTTCAAGTCTGAAGTGTTAAAATATGTAGGAAACCAAAAAACACCTTTCCATAATAGAACCATTCTAAAACTTAAATAGCTAGAATTTTGGGGGGAATATAGGCAATTAAAAATTTTGAAATAAGTTTACAAGGATTTTTTTAGAAAACTTATACTTTAAAACATTTTTTAAAAAAGAATGAATACTATGGAAGATCATTCTGTGTCTTCATATTTTATACTTCAGTTCATTTGAAAGAAGTAACTAAAGATGTTGACTTTTTTCTCTTTTATTTCCAAGCACTTGTGATTTAACCAATGAATTAATAACCAACAGCAGAGTTGGATGACTTTCTAAAAAAACTATATGTTAAACTCCATTTCCCCCCCCTTAGGAAGAAGAAAAGGATTATAAAGGCCCCAATCCAAGAGAGCTTTTGGAACCACTATTTAAACAAAGCAGTTGTTCCTACAGAGTATGTATTTTATGTACATTTGAAAGTAAGTCTCTAGCAGCCAGTAGATCCTTAAAATGGCTTTTCACCTTGCTTTATTATGGTATGCCACATTTTAAGTTAGGTGCAGATCGTATTGTTTGCTAGTATGTTGTTCATTTAAATTATTATATGTACAGTAGATGGTTCACTGATATCCAATTGTCAGTTACTAAAATAGTTGGAATTTTTTTAGTTCAAAGAAAAGCTTTCTTACATTATAGAATTATAAAATGCTAATTGCTATTTTTAAGCTGTGTAGCCAGCTTAAAGTAGCCAGATAATTATTACATACATTATACCTCTATTTCTGTCACATAATCTTCCAACAGAGCCAATTAGTAGAAACCAAATATACCATAAGTTTTGCCATTTTTGTGGCATGATTATAAGTTCCACTTCATAAAAATCAATTCCAAAATAGAGGGATAATCTGCTTAGCTGCTTTAAATTTCAAGTAAAATTCAATTAATTATAAAGAATATTTATTTAAAAATATATGTCTTTCTCAGATTGAATCTTATTGGACTTATGAAGTATGTCATGGAAAACATATTCGACAGTACCATGAAGAAAAAGAAACTGGCCAAGTATGTTTTCCTTGAAATATAAAACATAAAATAAGAGATTGCATAATGACATTGATATTTTCTAAGTTGTAGCTAAAGATATATGTTTGTAAAATACTTACTGTATTTTTTTTTAATGTAGAAAGTAAATATTCATGAATACTATCTTGGAAATATGTTGGCTAAGAATCTTCTGTCTGAAAAAGGTTAGTCTCTAAAAGTGGTGATAGTACTACTGGGTTTTGGTTTAACATTTAAGTTCTAATTGAAATTTAAGTCCAGGCATGGTGGTACAGTACTATAAGCCTAGCGTTTCAGGGTAGAAGCAGTAGGATCAGGGATTCAAGGCCATTCTCTTTACATAGCAAGGCCTACTTAGGTAACAGAAGACTGACTCAAAAAAGAAAGGGAGGGAGGGAGAAATTTCTGGATATTATCATTTTTATACATTATTCTTATTGTAGTTTATTCCCTTAATGTATTTGGATGTGCCACTACATGCAAAAGGAGTCAGAGGAAATATCTGGGAATCAGTACTTTCCTTTCACCTTGTCATTCCCAGGAATCAAACTTGGGTCTTTCATAGACAGCCACTCTGGGAACACTTAACTTTAAAACTAGAAAGGCAAGCCTGAAGACAGGGTGTTTAAACGCCTAGTACATATGAAACCCTGGCTCCAATACCTAGTAACTCCTACCCAAAAAGCAGTAAGACAAAATCTTGTTTCATCTTCCTTAGAAAGAAGTTTAAGGTTCCAAAGCTGATTAAAAACATCATATAGATGTGATGTTCATGCAGTGTGTTCACCTTTTTCTTGTTTTGCTTCCACAGAACGAGAAGCAGAAGAAAAAGAAAAGTTCAGTGAGGCAAGTGATATATTAATTTTTCATACTTCATTGTTAAGTACGACTTTAATGACAGAAGCTAGATGTATGTTCTTTATATAATGCCTCAAGGAAGTGGGTCAGATAAAATTACAATGTATGACAGCTAGTTTTTCTATGGAAAGTTCCATTGCCAACTGAGCTTGATGCCTCACACCTTTAATTCCAGCATTCGGGAGGCAGAAGCAGACAAATCTTTGTGAGCCTGTTCTGCATACCTAGATCTGAGCCATCCTGGGCTACATATACAAGTGAGACCCTGTCTAAAAAAATAGATAAATTATGTTGTAATTCTTCCACTTACCTTTTAAATAATACCTAAATAAACTGTCAGTTGAGCCTGCTGACACAAAGCTGTCATCCCAGCTTCTTGGGAAACTTAGGCAGAAGAATCACAAGTTCAAGGACTTCCTGTCCTAACTATCTTCCACGTGGTAGAAGAAGAGATCCAGCTACTGAAAGTTGTTTTCTGGCTTACACACACACAGAGCTACATGTGCACATATATGCAATAAATAAAAGTAATGTAAAAAAAAAATTAACTAGGGGTAATGAAGCTACAGCCCAGTAGTAGAACACTGTCTAGCATCTATAACACCCTAAGCTCAATCTCCACTATGTAAAATGCTGTGATACCATCACTTCAGTGCATAGTGGTGGTGCTTTCTATGTAGCATTAGAAATAGTGGTAGTAGGAACATTTTTATTGATTATTCCTCATTTCCTATAAGTGTAACAGATGAATTGCATATGTAAGCTACCTGTCTATATGGGCTTTAAAAGTAGAGGCTAAGAGTCTTTTATCTGTACAGTGCAAAGCTGTCATGCACATGCATATTGCAGGTACTTCATATATGTCTATCAAATGATGGCTCAGAGTAATATTTTGTAAAAGGAGCAATTCATGTAGTTCGAAGAATGTTGTTGCTTTTCTTTCCTTTCTTCCTTATCACTGTCTTACTTGGAAATCAGCCTTAAAACTTGCAGAATCTAAATTATAAACAATATTCACTACAAGGTTAGTGAAGAGTTAAACAGCTCAGAATAGTAAATTTTTTTGTTAGTTTAGTTTGTTTCTTCAGAACTGTTGACAATAACTCATATTAATCATGTCTTTATACTCTAAATGTACATCGACTTTACATTTTAGCATCAAATAGTTTGTTCTGTATTATACTATCCCCAAATACATATATGTTCAAAAACTTAAAAATCAGAACATTAGGGTTGACTTAAAAGAAAGTATAGACATTTTCATCTTCTTTTTACAAGTAAAATATAGTTTCCTTTCAGAATAATGTTTACCTCATCCTCAGACCCACCTCAAATTTCTAATGAAAAGTCTAACTACGCTTTTCTTTAAGATTCCCACTAAAAATATTGAAGGTCAGATGACACCCTACTATCCTGTGGGAATGGGAAATGGTACACCTTGCAGTCTGAAACAGAACCGACCCAGATCAAGCACTGTGATGTACATATGCCATCCTGAATCTAAGCATGAAATCCTTTCAGTAGCTGAAGTTACAACTTGTGAATATGAAGTTGTCATTTTGACACCACTCTTGTGCAGTCATCCTAAATACAGGTAAGATGTTCATCCGTTATTCTAAACATACAGTGCACATGCGCTTTAAAGTATTCATGTTTAGCTTTAATGCCTTTTTTTCCCACTGAATAGGTTCAGAGCCTCACCTGTGAATGATATATTCTGCCAATCACTGCCAGGATCTCCATTTAAACCCCTCACACTAAGACAATTGGAGCAGCAGGAAGAGATTCTGAGAGTGCCATTTAGGAGAAATAAAGAGGTATGAGAGTTAACTAATTATACTTTCTCAGGGCTTCCTTTTCCACATTTCAGAACCTATATCAATGTGTTAATTTCTGTAGCATAATAATGGCAATTTATTTTAATTTTTAATTCTAATTATGTGAATAATTTCAATTTTTTCTTACACTTTTTGGAAAATTTAACATTCTCGTGCAATTGCACAATATCTAAAAGTTTTATTTAAATTTATCTCATTTTTGTGCATATATGTAATGCCTACATGTACACACATGCACAGTGTGTGTTGTGTGCCTGGTACCTATAAAGGCTAGACGAGAGTCTAATCCTCTGGAAATGTAATTAAAATTGTAAACTGCCTTGTGAGGTCTGGAAACCAAACCCAGGTCCTCTGCAAGAGTAGCAAGTACTTTTAATTGCTGACCTATGTCTCCAGCCTCACACATAATACTTTCTAAGTTTAGCATCCTATTAAATTTCTAAATAGTTGTTCCAACTAAGTTTAAAAAAATAAATAAATGAATAAATAAATAAGTAAATAAAAAGAAGGGCGCAGCCCTAGCTCCAGATCTTGGCACTTTACCCTTGAGTCTCTTGCTCTCCTTTAGTCACCTCTATGTACTTTGTTCTCCTGATAGCCTGTCTTCTCTCTTTATGCTTTTTGGACATGGCCACATACCTTTTTCAATTATATCCCACTCATCATTTTTAATTTTTTTTCAGAGCTCTTATCTTCCCCACTGTTTTTTTGTTTTGTTTTTGTTTGTTTGTTTTTCAATTTTAAGACAAGGTCTTTCTCTATAGCCCTGGCTGTCCTGGAACTCACAATGTAAACCATTCTGGCCTCAAATTCACAAATATTCACCTGCTTCTGCTTCCCAAATGCAGGAATTAAAAGCATGTTCCACTACACCTGGTTTTCCCCCATAGCGTTTAAAGTACTGTGCTTAGAACTAGCATAATTCCTGCACAGTATTTGTCCTTACAGTATACAAAACAAACTATTTTCTATCTAAACAACCTCCCCTCAAAAAAAAAAAAAAAAAAACACCTAAATCTTGTTTTATTTGTTTGTTTTTTGAGGCACAGCCTCACTTTGTAGCCTTGGGTAATCTGAGGGACACTCTTTCACTTTTCCCCTCCCCTCCCTGCCACAACATGCTCATGCATACTTTTGCTTAATACCTACCCACAAGAATAAATCCAGACCTCTTAGCTGTAGTTTTCCAACATAAAAAATGCTTGATGATCTCTTTAATTTTAAATATCACAGCCCTACATATTGCTCCTGATGAGTCTTTTCTTCATATCCTATGCACATATGTACACAAACACAAAGCATATACCTAAGTCTCTAATATATGCACACATTACTGATTTTCATTTTTCGTGGCTTAGTCAATAGTATTCTCTTGGTAAAGTCCTCACATTTCAATTCCTTGGCAAAGTCAGTTCCATCTACTCCTTCCTTTATGAGTCTTATTACTTTGGATTTACTCTAGTAAATTATAGGTTCCTCCAGAACAGTCATATTCAGCTACATTTGAGTAATTGTAACTGATGATCCTATTCATTCCCAACAAACTCCTTCTCATCCAACTTGTTACCTTAGCTTTACTCTTAATGACTTAAACAAAATGTAAGGATGCAAAGCTCAGTAAGTATCAGAATGAAGACAAGAAGCAGGTGAGAAATGGACATTTTCCCTATGTGTGCCAGAGGATTATCATACTTATTACTTGGGAGTGACACTAACATTTGTCTTGACTTTCCTCTGTTGTCTCAAAGTCCACTTTCTTAAAACCTTAAAATTAAGTGGAAAAAAAAAACTCTTTATTTTTCAAATTTTTGTTAAATTTTAAAGTAATAACAAGCTGTGGTTGGAGAGCATGTCATGAAAGCTCATAAACACATGTGGTTAATTTTAGGAAGATTTGTCATCTGCAAAAGAAGAGAGATTTCCAGCCATCCACAAACCTATTGCTGTTGGTTCTCAGCCATTGCTCACTGTTGGAACAACCCATATATCCAAGCTGACAGATGACCAGCTCATAAAGGAGTTCCTTAGTGGCTCTTATTGCTTTCATGGGGTAAGAAAGTGAAACTGTATTTTAAATATTTTTCTTACAACCTTAATGTATGTCAGTTACTAACCCATACTCATTGGAAGAACTAAACAAAAGTGCCTACAGAGAAATGGCAGAACCCTGCCATCTACAATGAACATTTTTTTGTATAGTCCCATTCCCCCACATCTCTAAAGTCTATTCCACACCCATTATATTCTCTTTACCCATAAAAGCTTGACTTTTCCTAATGCAGTCATATATGATTTAGGTTGACTGTTAAAATGGACATTACTGATTTACTTCAAACATTTTGGTTATGCAACAGTCACAATTCAAACTTGAACTAAGCTTAAAAGGTAATATTTTTGCTTCTGACTACTAAAACCAATGTAAACACACTCAAAGGTGAAAATTTACTTTTATGTATTTTATGAAAGTTAATTTTTTGTATCCTTTTAGTGGATTTTTTTTTCCTCTCTTTCTTTTTTAAGACAAGGATTCACATACAGCCCTGGGTGGCCTGAAACTCACTGTGTATACCAGGCTGTCATGTTTTGTTTTGTTATACTATTGATTTTATAAGTTATAAAAATTACATATATTTCCCACTGTCATGTAGCATTGTTACATCAGTCTCCCTTCTCTGTAAATAACTATCTGTTTCTTTCTTTTAGGGTGTTGGTTGGTGGAAATATGAATTCTGCTATGGCAAACATGTATATCAATATCATGAGGTATAGAATAGCATTTATGTCTTTCTGCCACTGGATAGATTCAGGTTGTTTATTTGTTTTGCAGTGCTCAAACCCAGGGTCTTGTGGACATGTCATTGAACCACATTGCCTTGGGACAGACTGGTAATTTGGCTCAACAGTGAAGAGTGTTCTGTTCCTGTAGAGATCCCAAGTTTGATTCCAGGCTTATACATCAGGCAACTCAAAACTGCCTGTAACTCCAACTCTAGGGAATGCAGTGCCCAGATACCTCTACAGGTATCTATACTCAAGTGTACAACATACACATATACACACAATTTAAAAAAATAAATGAATCTTAAAAATCTGTGAAAAAAAAGAGAAAAAGAGCACTAATATTGCTATTAATCATGAAATGATTTCAATATCCAAATACGAACCAGAGTTTTCCCACTTTTTAAAAACTGGAAAACTTAGTATTAACTGATTCAGTCAACTTGAAGGAACATTTCTCATTAACTACCCATATTCTGAAATTATCATGAACCTGTGTTCTAATTTCAGGGGTTATTCTTATAATTCATCCTTAAGAAATGAATAACTAGTAAGATAGTACATTGATTACAGAATTAATCAAATTTGATAAATATACCAAGTTCCTCCCTCAGATAAAAGAAAATACCATTTCATCTTTTGTATTTTTTTTTTTTTTTTTGGTGGTGATGTTTGGTTGGTTGGGGTTTTTTGTTTGTTTGTTTGTTTTGTTTTGTTTTTTGAGATAGAGTCTCTAACCCAAGCTACCCTCAAACTCTCTTTATAGGTAGGGAACACTGAAATTCTGATCCTCCTGGCTCTGCTTCCTGAATGTTAAGATTACATGTGGGCCCCGCCCTTTTTTTAAATTTTGTTTTCTTTTCCTTTTTTTTCTTATTTTATATATTGACCCAAGTTCACTCTCCCGCCCTCCTTGTTTCCCTTCCCTCCCTCCCATGCCCTCTTGCCACCCACCCATTCATCCCCTTCCCAACTCCACAGGGAGGGAGATACCTTCTAGGAGGGATCAACAAAATCTGTCAAGTCATTTGGAGTAGGGACTAGACCCTCCCTCCTGCCTCTAGGTTAAGAGAGTATCCCTCCATGGGGAATGTGCTCCCGAAGTCCTTTTGTACACCAGGGATCCATCCCGGTTCCATTATCAGAGGCCCCTTAGACTGCCCAGGCCTTCTAACTGAGACCCATGTTCAGGGAGTCTGAGTTTCCCAGCTATCAGTCTGGGAGTCCATTAGCTCTCCCTTGTTCAGGTCAGCTGTCTCTGTGGGTTTCTGTAGCCTGGTCTTGTCACCATTTTCTTATTATTCCTCCTTTGCATCTGGATTCCAGGAGTTTGGCTCAGTGTTTAGCTGTGGGTGTCTGCTTCTGTTTCCATCAGCTACTAGATGGTAGATAAGTTAGTCATCAATCTCATTATCAGGGAAGGGCATTTAAGGTAGTCTTTCCATTGTTGTTCAGATTGTTAGTTGGAGTCATCCTTGTAGGTCTCTAAACATTTCTCTAGAGTCAGTTTTCTCTTCAAACCTATAATGGTTCCCTCTTTTATGGTATCTAGCTCACTCTCCCTTCCCCATCTCGACTATTTCTCCCATGACTCAATCTTCCTAGTCCCACAAGCTATCCTCTCCTCCCCTTCTCTTTCTCCTACCCCCCCCCACTCCCAATATGCTCAGGATATCTTGTTCCTTTCCCCTTCTGTGAGGGACCCTATATGAATCGCTTAGGTTGATCCTAGTTTCTCTAGCGGTATGAATTATAGGCTGCTGATCCTTTGCTCTACGTCTAAAATCCATATATGAGTGAGTACATACCATGTTATTCTGTTTTGTGACTGGGTTGCCTCCTTCAGGATGGTTTCTTCTAGTTCTATCCACTTGTCTGTGAATTTCAAGATTCCATTGTGCCCCCCCCCTTCCCCGCAGAGTATATTCCATTATGTAAATGTACCACATCTTCTTTATCCATTCTTAGTTGAGGGGCATCTAGGATGCTTCCAAGTTCTTGCTATTACAAATAATGCTGCTATGAACGTAGTTGAACACATGTCTTTGTTGCATGGATGTAGATCATTTGGGTATATGCCTGAGAGTGGGATTGCTAGGTTCTGTGGTAGACTGATTCCCATTATCCTGAGGAACTGCCATACTGATCTCCAAAATGGCTGTACAAGTTTGCACTCCAACCAGCAGTGGAGGAGTGTTCCCCTTTCTCCACGTCCTCTCCAGCACAAGTTGTCATATGTATTGCCAATTTTAGCCATTATGGCAGGAGTAAGATGGTGTCTTAGAGTTGTTTTCATTTGCATTTCACTGATAGCTAAGGATCTTGAGCACTTTCTTAAGTGTCTTTCAGCCTTTTTGATTTCCTCTATTGAGAATTCTTCAGTTCTGCACCCCATTTTTTAATAGGGTTATTTGGTGTTTTGGTGACTAGTTTTTTTGAGTTCTTTGTATATTTTGGAGATCAGCCCTCTGTCAGATGTAGGGCTGCTGAAGAGCATTTCCCAGTCTGTGGGCTGCCATTTGATCTTGTCAACTGTGTCCTTTGTCTTACAGAAACTTCTCAGTTTGAGGAAGTCTCATTTATTAATTGTCGACTCAGTATCTGTGCTACTGGTGTTATGTTCAGGAAGCGATCTCCTGTACCAATTTGTTCCAGGGTACCTCCCACTTTCTCTTCTAAGAGGTTCAGTGTGGCTAGATTTATGTTGAGGTCTTTGATCCATTTGGACTTGAGTTTTGTGCATGGCAATAGACATGGATCTATCTGCAGTCTTCTACACACCATCATCCGGTTGTGCCAGCACCATTTGTTGAAGATGCTTTCCTCCTTCCATTGTATACTTTTAGCTGTTTTGTCAAAACTCAGGTGTTCATAGGTATGTGGGTTAATATCAGGATTTTCAGTTCAATTTCTTTGGTCAACATGTCTATTTTTGTGCCAATACCAAGCTGTTTTCAGGACTATAGCTCTGTAGTAGAGCTTGATTCAGGGATGGTAATGCGTCCTGAAGTTCCTTTATTGTACAGGGTTGTTTTGGCTATACTGGGTCTTTTGTTTTTCCATATAAAGTTGAGTATTATCTTTTCAAGGTCAACAAAGAATTGTGCTGAGATTTTGATGGGGATTGCATTGAATCTGAAGATTGCTTTTGGCAAGATTGCCATTTTTACTGTGTTTATCCTACCTATCCAGGAGCATGGGATATCTTTCCATTTTCTGGTATCTTCTTTAATTTCTTTCTTTAAAGACACAAAGTTCTTGCTTTATAGGTCTTTCATATCCCAAGATATTTTATGTTGTTTGTGGCTATTGTAAAAGGTGATGTTTCTCTGATTTCTTTCTCAGCCTCTTTGTAGGGCCTACTGATTTTTTTGAGTTTATCTTGTACCCTGCTAGTTTGCTGAAGGTGTTTATCAGCTGTAGGAGTTCCCTAGTAGAGTTTATTGGGTCGCTTAGTAAAGTATCATATCATCTGCAAATAGTGACAGTTTGACTTCTTCCTTTCCAATTTGTATCCCCTTGTGTAAGGAGTAAGGCTTTTCCGCCTGCCGCTGGTCCTGTCCCACCCCAAATAACGTACAGAGACTCTGTATTTGATATAATGCTGTTGGCCAATTACTTGTTTCTTATCGGCTAGCTGCCTTAATTATTAACCCATTTCTATGTATTTCCACGTGGTATTATCTTACCGGGGAGCCGGCCCACATTCTGCTTTCTCTAGACTCTCCATCTTGACTCCTCCTTCCTCCTTCCTCTTTCCTCCTTGTCTCCTAGTTAGTCCCTCCTATCTTCCTTTCCTATTGGCCAACAGTGCTTTATTCGTACGAGAAACATATATACATAATGGCATCTACCATCATCTCTCCTCTTTTCTGTCTAAATAAAAAGAAGGGTTTTAACCTTAACATAGCAAAGTATATCACATAACAGTTCTCAAATAAGAATCACAGTTAACAATATTTAGTCCATTAACATTTAGCAAGATTTGAAGAAAATATTTTATCATCTATTCTATCTTTGTGAGTCTAAAGTCCTATATGTAACTTATCTTTAATTCTAAGGAAAACTATAACTATCTGTCTTCAACTCCTTCAAAGACTACAGAAGGATAATATATAAACTCTAGAAATGACAGAGACATCTTGCCTTGTTAGTCACCTGAAGTTCTTCTGTAATCTTCCATCTTCAGCCCATAGGCCATAGTGTGTCTGGCAGATTCTTCAGCAAAGCAGTAAACTTTAAACTGTCTTCTTGTATTGGCAATTTGTCAGTCACTTTTCTCTGTGTCCTGCAGATTTTCATGAAGCAGGAACTCTGTAGCAATATATATCTTGTATCAGCAGTCACTTTTCTGTGGGTCCTGCATGTCCAGTTTATACAGCATAAAGTCAAACAGTCCAGACTAGAGCAGTATCTTGTCCAAATGGCTAGTCTTGCCATACTGGAAGTAAACTCCATAACGAGTTTCTTCAATGTCCATCTTCCTTTCTGACGCAGGTGGTGTTGCCAGGAGCAATTGTGCCTCATTGTCAAGAAAAACCCTAAACCATTTTAAATGCCATATTCTGTAGGTCTTTGAAAGGTTTCAAGAATTCCTATCTATCTCAAATACATTTCTGTATATCTAGAAAACTAACTCATCTAGCTATAAGTTTTCCCTATTATAGGTAACTATCTAAAATCTGTACTAAATTATACATTACACCCTTGATCTCCTTTTGCTGTCTTATTGTGTTAGCTAGAATTTCAAGTACATTTTTGAAGAGATATGGAGAGAGTGGGCAGCCTTGTCTTGTTCCTGATTATAGAAGAATCGCCTTAAGCTTCTCTCCATTCTGTTTGATGTTGGCTGTTGGTTTACAGTATATTGCTTTTATTATGTTTAGGTATGTTCCTGTTATCCCTGATCTCTCCAAGACCTTTACCATGAAAGGGTGTTGAATTTTGTCAGAGGCTTTTTTAGCATCTAGTAAGATGATCATGTGGTCTTTCTTTTTCAGTTTATTTATATGGTGAATCACATTGAAAGATTTTTGTATGTTTAACCATCCCTTCATCCCAGGGTTGCTCATGGAGCGTGATTTCTTTGATGTGTTCTTGGATTCGATTTTCTGGTATTTTATTGAGTATTTTTGCATCAATATTCATGAGGGAAATTGGTGTAGTTCTCATTCTTAGTTGTGTCTTTGTGTGGCTTGGGTACCAAGGTAATTGTGGCCTTGTAAAAAAGAGTTGGTAATAAACCTTCTGCTTCTATTGTGTGGAACAATTTGAGGAGTATTGGTGTTATCTCTTCTTTTAATTTCTGATAGAATTCTGCATTGAAGCCATCTGTCCCTAAGCTTTTTCTGGTTGGGAGGCTTTTGATGACTGCTTCTATTTCATTAGGGGTTATAGGTCTGTTTAAGTTGCTTATCTGTTCTTGGTTTAATTTTGGTAAGTGATAGTTATCCAGAAAATTGTCCATTTTCTTTGAATTTTCAAATTTTGTGGAGTACAGATTTTCAAAGTATGACATGAAAATTGTCTGGATTTCCTCCGTGTCCATTGTTACGTCCCCCTTTTCATTTCTAATTTTGTTAATTTGCATGTTCTCGCTCTGCTTTTTGATTAGTTTGGATAAAGGTTTTCTGTGTTGTAGATTTTCTCGAAAAACAAACTCTTAGTTACATTGATTTTTTTTTTTTCCCCCATGTTTTCCTGGTTTCTACTTTATTGATTTCAGCTCTCAAATTGATTATTTTCTGGTATCTACTCCTCTGGGGTGAGTTTGCTTCTTTTTGTTCTAAGGTTTTCAATTGTGCTTATACCCCCCTTTTTTTTATATGGAAATAGGAATCATACTCAGGCCTCTGTATATTCCAGGCAAGTACTCTATGAACTAAGCTGCAGTCCCAGTCTACTACATGGTGTTTTAATGAGCATTTTAGATAGTTACAGAGATCCACCTGTCTCTACCTCCTAGGTGCTGGGATTAAAGATGTGTCACCATCTCCAGGCTTTTTTCAGGGTGGTGATGGTGGTGTTACTTGGGTTGGATTTTGTTAGGTTTTGATTATTTGCTTGTTGGTGTTTTGGTTTTGAGTGTTTTTTTTTGGGGGGGGGGTTGAGATTTACCTTTTGTTTTATTTGTTGTTGTTGTTTGAGTCTACTAGCCCAGAATGTCTTGATTACTCATCCCCCTAATTGGTAGAGTTGCAGGCATGTGCTACTTACCCAGTGTACAAGGTCACTTAGCCTTTAACTGTCTGGTGGATCTATTAGATACTTTGGAAGATAATAAGAACTACTAGCAAGCATAGTGCTGATTATATGCCAGATACTAAGTATTTTTTACATGTTAACTCATTTAATCAGTCCTGTTATTCCAAGTTACAGAAACAGGCTTTATAATTCCTTGCCTAAAATTCCATATGCAATAAATGATAAGCCTGGAATTCAAACCCAGGCAAGCTTGTTCCCTATGTAGCTTCTTAGAAACTTTGCTGTTCCAATCCCTGTCTGGAAATTAACAAATCTAGTTGCTGGTGGGGGACAGGAGGGATATAATAGTTCTTTCCCATTAGGCAATAACATCTACTAGGGAAATGGCCCTGCATGTTTCACTGTCCACTGAATAGATTTTCTGTACTATTAATCAAAAGTATATTATTGCATAGCATGGTTACTGGCATAAAATAGGAAAGGCCTCAAGGAATAAGAGGAGAAAATGAGAGGAGCTTATTCTTATAAACAGTACATAGTATTATTTAAATAATAAAGGCAGAATCAGGAAAGGGATTCTGCATAGTTTTTATACAGAAATGAATGTGCCATCAAATGAGTTATGGAGACTATAAAACTTCAAAGTTCTTATATAACAGTATCGAGGTAAAGTGAACATGAACTTAGTCCATTTTATACTGCTACAACAATATTACAAACTAGTTAATTTTTTAAATTTTTTTTTCATTTTACATTTCAACCACATTTCCCCCTCCTCCTGCTCCTCACCTGTCTCCCCCCCACACACACATACACACACAACCCACCCTCCATCCACTCCTCTGAAAGGGTAAGACCTCTCATAGGGTGTCAACAAAGCATGTCACATAAGTTGAGGCAGGACCAAGCTCCTCCCACCACATCAAAATTGAGCAAGACGTCCCACCATAGGGAATAGGCTCCAAAAAAGCCAGCTCATGCACCAGGGATAGATATACCCCAGTCACACTGCCAGGGGCCCCTCAAACAGACCCAGTTACCAACTGTCGTCCATATGCAGAGGGCCTACTTCAGCCCCATACAGGCTTCACAGCTGATGGTCTAAAAGTTTGTGTGTTCATGAGCTTGGTTCAGCTATCTCTATAAATTTCCCTATAATGTTCTTGACCCCCTCTTGCTCATATAATCCCTCCTGCTCTTCAACTGGACTCCCTGAGCTAAGCCTAGTGCTTGCCTGTAGATCCCTGCATCTGCTTCCATCAGTTCCTGGATGAAGGCTCTATCCAATCTGATTACAGGAGAAGGTCAGTTCAGGCACTTTCTTTACTATTGCTAGGAGTCTTAGCTGGGGTACTCCTTGTGGATTCCTGAGAATTTCCCTAGCACCAGGTTTCTGCCTAACCCCATAATGGTTCTTTCTATCAAGATATGTCTTTCATTGCTCTACTGTTCATCCCTCCCCCAATTCAATCATCCTGGTCCCTTATGCACTCATTCCCCCCATCCCTTCCCTTCTACCCTGTCCCATCCTCAGTTTACCCAGGAGATCTCAACTATTTACCCTTCCCAGGGCAATCAATTCATCCTTCTTAGGGTCCTCCCTGTTACCTAGCCAAATTGGATAACTTTTAAAAAAAGGAATTAGATTTCACATTTCTAAAGACTAAAAATGCCATTATCAAAGTATCTGCAAGGGCCTTCTTGCTGCTTTGTCCAGTGACACAAACCAAGAGGAAGAAAGGCTGAGAAAGCTTGGGGGCTGTAGAGATGGTTTGGTGATTAAGAGCAGTAACTGTTCTTCCAAAGGGATCGATTTCTAACACCACATGGTCACTTACAACCATCTGTAACTCTAGTCCCAGGAAATCCAATATCCTGTTCAGGGCACCAGGTATGCATACATGTAGGCAAGACACTCATACATATAAAATTAGTTTTGTTGTTTAGTTTTGGGGTTTTTGGTTTTGTTGTTATTGGGGGGGATTGTATTTGTTTGTTTTGTTTTTGAGACTGAGTTTTTCTGTAGCTTTTGAGCCTATTCTTGAATTCACTCTTAGACCAGGCTGGCCTCAAACTCACAGAGTGCAGGGATTAAAGACCTGTACCACCACAGCCCAGCTGAAGTAATTATTTTTTTAAGATAGAAACTCAGAGCCTCCTCTTACAAGGACACAGTACTCAAAACTTAAATATCCTCCAGTAGGTTGGTTCTACTTCTCCACACTAATATTCTAGGAATTAGGTTTACAACACATTTTGGGGGAGATGGATTCAACCACAACAGTGATTCAGTTCAGAATCACAGTATTAATGCTAGGGCTATAACTTGGTGGTAAAGCACTTCCCAGTGTGCACAGTTCCTGGGTTTGATGCCCATCTCCTTTCAAAACAGCATAGTACTATGATTGTGTAAAATAAGCATGATCAATTAAATTTTTGGTTGGAAGGATTAAGGTGTTGGCAGTGAAAGTATTAGAGAAGAATCTAAAGAGAAGAGAGAGGTCTGGCAGAATGGGTCAGCACATAAAAGAATTTTCCATATAAGTCTGGCAACCTAAGTTTGAGCACCAGACCCTGTGGTGGAAAGAGAAAACCAGCTCCCAAGAGTTGTCCTCTGGCCTATCACCCCACCACTGTAAGTGTATGTGCCTTCAGATATGTATATATCATGTACACATACAATGATAATAAATAATTTTTGAGAGAAGGAACTAAAGAAAAACATCTACAGGAAGAAATTAGGGAAAAGTTACTACATCTGGAGCTAGGCTAACTAGAAATTACATTATTCAGGAAAACAGAATAATGATCATTTAAATTACTATCTCCTAAGTTTTACTGATATCATTGCATCATTATCCAGTGAATGGATGAAAATGGGGACTGGGGCTTATAGAAGGTACTGTTTGCTCATATCAACATGCATTACCACAAACACTGTCAGGTTCAAACACCTAATAGTTTATGTTGTGAAGGAACCTGATGTCAAGCCTGATACCCTGAGTATGCCCACTCACATAATATATGCCCACACACAGAAAGGTAAATATAATTTTAAAATTTAGTATTTTTCCATATACTAGGACAAAGATAATGGGAAAACTTCTGTGGTTGTGGGAACATGGAACCAAGAAGAGCATGTTGAATGGGCTAAGAAAAACACTGCTAGAGCTTATCATCTTCAAGACGACGGTACCCAATCAGTCAGGTAAAGACTGTTTGCTTTAAAACTCAAAATATTGACAGATTAAATTTTTAAATATATGGAGCACGCCATGGTGCTGAATGCCTTTAATTCCACCACTTGGGAAGCAGAGGCAAGCAGAGCTCTGTGAGTTTGAGGCCAGCCTGGTCTACAGTGAGTTCCAGGACAGCCAGGGCTATACAGCGAAACGCTATCTCAAAAAAAAAAAAAAAAAAATTAAACATACAGGTAACATTTTAGGTCAGTGTTATTTTAGGGGACAGCATTTAGATTCCTTTCCTTTGAGGAAAGAAACAGCCCAGGGTCAAGCACATAGTCATGAGTCATGGTGGTGCCCATCTTTATTTTATTTCTAGTCAGGACTATGTAGAGAGACCTTGTCTCCAAAAAAAAAAAAAAAAAAAAAAAAAAACACCAAACAACCAGGATTCAAATGCTGGCTGGCTCTTCAGTAATAATGCCTTGAGAAAATTACATAATCTGTAAGCCTTCCGTGTCTAATATCATATCCCTATAAGGTTTTGAGGACATTTAAGTAAAATAACCTAGCCTAGTAATAACATTCAGTAAACTGCCAGTTGCCTTTAAGAGTGATAGTGGTGTAAGACTGGCATGATAGGGTTAGAGAGATGGCTCAGGAATTAAAAGCACTGGCTCTTCTACTAGAGGATGTGGGTTCAATTCCCAGCATGAACATGGTGGCTCCCAGCCATCTATAACTAGTCCCATAGAATCTGATGCACTCTTCAGGTGTGCAAATGTACACACAGACAAAACACCCAAATACATACATGAATAAATACTAAAAAAAAAAAAAACGTTAAGGGGTCTGGAAAGATGGCTCAAAAGTTAAGAGCACTGGCAGTTCTTCCAGAGGTCCTGAGTTCAGTCCCCAGCAACCACATGGCTCACAACCATCTATCTATAGGGAAACCTGATACCCTATTCTGTGATAAAGGTGTACATGAAGATAGAGCACTCGTACATAAAATAAATAAATCTTTTTTTTTTAATGTTAAAAGTACATAAAGAATAGCAGTGATGCTAGTGACAATGACTCCATTCTTTTGTTTTTGTTTGGTTTCATTAAAGATACTGTGTGTGTGTGTGTGTGTGTGTGTGTGTGTGTGTGTGTGTGTATGTGTGTGTGTCTGCGCACACGCGCGTGTATACACACATCATATCTGTGCCTGTTACCCACAGAAGCCAGAGGAGAGAATGTTGGATTCCTTGAAACTGGAGTCACAGGCATTTGTGAGCTGCCACATGGACACTGAGAATTGAGCCCAGATCCTCCAGGAGAACAGTGAATGCTTTTAACCACTGAATCACCTCTTCAGCCCAGTTTTATTCTTCTGTATAGTCCAGATTGAACCCAGCCAGGGCTTCATGATTAAGCATCATCCATAGTAGGCAAGCACACTAATGCTGAGCTACCTCCCCATTTCCAACAATTATTTGATTCAATTAGAACTAGGACTCTTCTAAAACATTTGTGTTTGTCGATTTTTACTTGTTAAATATACCCTGTTATTTCCCTTTGTTACACAGTTTTTGTGAGGTAGGTACCTTTTGTGCTATGTGGGTATATTTTATTCTTGCCAGAAGTTAACCTTACTTCCCAAGAATAAATAACTGTGCTTCAGCTTTTCTTGTCCCTTATCCAGTGAATTTAAAAGATTAATTCTTGTTCATTCTCAAATGATAATCTTTGTTTCTTCCAGGAACAGATAGTATTGAAAAATTGCTTTTAAAATAATGCTGACTTTTCAGGCTGACCTGAATCAAAGTTAGGAAAATTAAAATAGAGAAATCTAAGTGTTCAGTGTACCAGAAAAATTATTTTAGACTTATGTTTCCTACAAAAAAAAAAAAAAAAGAGCATCATGTGCTCAACATTGAAGCCTAGAAAAGTGTGACTAGAAAACATAAAGCTTTTCTTTGGATATTGCTCAGTTTGAAAGTTACACTTTGGCAGAGGCTTGCTTTTTTGTCCCATATAATCAATAATGATTGATTAATGGGATTAGCTTGATGGAAAACTGAAAGGAAGAATTGTTTCACTAAATTAAGAATATACTAGGTTAGAGAATTTGGGTAACTTTAAAACTATAACTTTTATTACTTTGTTTTGTCTATTTCTTTGGTTAGTTTGTTGAGGTAGTTCTTTCTGTTAGCCTTACTGGCCTCAAGCTCACAGCCATCCTGCACCCTTATCCCTCCAAGGTCTGGTATTAGGGAAGTATTTGAGCCACCATACCAAACTAAAAAACTTGAGGCTGACCCATATGTAATATGGAGAGCATTAAGAAAGTTAGTACAAAATTTCTTTGATTTGTATTTTCCTTATAGAATCTGATTTTGTAATATAACCTTCTCACCCATTTCAGTTATCCTAATTAGTAATACTGTAATAAAGCTTGTGTGTTTTCCAACTCAGGATGGTGTCACATTTTTATGGAAATGGGGATATTTGTGATATAACTGACAAACCCAGACAAGTGACTGTAAAACTAAAGTAAGTTGAAATCTTTTACCTACTTATTATTGACAAAAGTTTTACATGAGATGTAATGATGGGAGGTGTCATTCTGTAAATATGTTTCTCTTATTAGTTAATGAATAAAGCCCTGTTGTCCAATAAGAGAGCAAGATAGGCAGGACTAGGAGAGAAGAATGATTTGGAAAGAAGTAGGAGGAAATTCAAAATGTAGGACCAAGAGAGCAGAACTGTGAACCCTCTCTCCGGTAAGATAAGATCACATGGAAATACTCAGATTGATAGAAACGGGTTAATATTAAGACAGAGGTAGCTAATAAGAAATGGTAGTAACAGGCCAACAGCTTTATATCTCATACAGCACCTCTGTGTGTTATTTGGCACTGGCACGGCTGTGAGACCAATCTGGCAGGAAAACATACTTGTAACAGTATATAACTAAATAATTATTAAATTATGTTATTTAAGTTAAATTATACTGAGTCCATTTAAATATTTTCATACCTTAGTAAAATAACAAAAATGCTGTTTTTTATGATATAGACAGTACCTTAAAGTGCTCTGTATTTTAGGTGTAAAGAGTCAGATTCTCCTCATGCTGTTACTGTGTATATGCTCGAGCCTCACTCCTGCCAGTATATTCTTGGGGTGAGTAAAATGAAAATAAGAGTTCATTTAGGGGCTAAATGGTAGAGCACTTATCTAGAGTGGAGGAGGTCCTGGATTCAATCCCAATACCACCAAATGAAAAGAAATAAATTTTTGACATATTTAAATGTTTTGGGTTAAATCTACAAAGGGCAGTCTAGATTTAATAGACATGTTTTTCTTCTGCGGTATAATTTGCATAAAGTGTACAAAGGCTTACTCAGTTGGTAGAGGGTTTGCCTAGCTTGCATGAAGCCCTGGGCTCAATTCCTAGCACCACAGAAACCAGGCAGGCATGAAGGACAAGTTGTTCCTATCATCTTCAAGTACACAAGGAGGTCAAGGCCAGCCAAGCACACATGAGATCATATGTTAAAGCACAGATCTTAAATGCTGAGTTTGATATTTAACCATTTTAAAATCACCTAAAATAAGGTCTGTCATAGCAGGAAATTCTTTGATACCCCATCGCAGGGGATACCTCTTTCTGGTTTCTGATACTGTAGACGAGGTGTGTTTCATTTGAGATTCCACATGAATGGAGTTCCCTTGTGTGGTTGGCTTTTCACACTCAGTTGTATTGAATATATCACTACTTCATTCTCTTTGTGTTGCTAGATTATATTCTTTTGTGTAACTGTACTATATGTGATTAATCATTCTTCTGTAGATTGACTTTAATTTATTTATTTATTTATTTTTGGTCATAATGAATAAGGCTGCTTTTATAAACTGTTTTCACATGTCTTTCTGTGGTTATGTTCTCATTCATTGTGGTAAATACCTGTGAATGGAATTTCTAGGTCACTAGTAGAAATAAACTTTACCAAATGATTCACCAAAATGCTAGTGTACTTTTAATCTACCAGTGGTACATGAGAGTCCAGTTGCTCCATCTCCTCACTAGCTTTAATTTCAGTGTTCTTTGTTAGTCATTTTAGTGGGTTTAGCTTTGTATTCCTCATACAAATAATGATACTGAACACCTTTTTGTGTTATTATTGACCTTTGTATACTTTTGTGAAGCCAGACTTTAATAAAATCTAACCAGACTTTAATAAAGAAGAATTATTCAGATCTTAAAATGGTTAAGAAGACTATTCAGTACTGTTTTTTTGTCAGTACCAAGACTTGCAGGGAAAAGCATTTGATCAAAATACATTGTATGCATGTGTGAAATTCAAATTAATAAATAAGACTATTGCAGTAACAGAAACAAGTAAAATTCAACTCTGAGTGCAGAAGAGATAGCTGAAGATCAATAGCCAACAGTCCAAATGAGAAAAGTTAGTAAGTACAAAATAACAGAGACATCAAGGGTCTGGCTTCTTACTAAAGCAGCCAGAGTGATCAGACGTTGAGTGTGGAGGTTTTTTCTCTTGGTACAGATGGACAGTAGGCCAGACACAGCCCAATACATAACAGGGCAGAGGCTCAAAAGAGCCTGACTGCTGATGAAGGAGTACAATCTGTGTCAGTCTCTTACCATCATTTGCTGTTGTTACTTATCTTCTGATTGCTTGATTCTAGGAGTTCAAAAGTATTCTAGGGGCTGGAGTGCAAATCCCCAGATCATGAGAGTGCAATTCTCAGTAACCACATGGTGGCTCACAGCCATCTATAATGAAATCTGATGCCTTCCTCTGGTGCTCAGGCATACATGCAGGCAGAACACTGAAAATGTAATAAATAAATCTTTTAAACGTATTATAGATACAAGTTCTTTATATTGTCATAATCTGTGGCAGCTTCACCTTTTTAAATGTCTCCTAATAAGCAAAACTATATTATTCTACCATGTTCAGTTTTTTGTTCTCACTTTTTTACTTTTATGGGTACTGCTTTTTTGTGTCCTAGAAGTTGTTGCTACCTCAGAGTCATGGGAACACCCTCTTAGATTTTTTTCTAAAGACTCTATAATACTACCTTTGATATGTTCTAAGTGTGCCTTTTTCTGTTCTTATCATATGAATTTTAGAAAACTTTTGGCCATTATCTCCCCAAAGATTTTTTTCTGACCTGTTACTTTATTCCTCTGTTTCTGAAGTGTGTGTGTGTGTGTGTGTGTGTGTGTGTGTGTGTGTGTGTGTGTCTTGTTGTTGTTGTTGTTTGTTTTTGTTTTATGAGACAAGGTTTCTGTGTGTTACTCTGGTTGTTCTAGAACTCACTCTGTAGACCAGGCTGTCCTCGAACTCACAAAGATCTGCCTGCCTCTGCCTCTGCCTCTGCCTCTGCCTCCCAAGTGCTGGAATTAACGGTGTGCATCACCACCACAGAGCCTGAAATTCTAACTAAACATTAATTTGAAATTGTTCAAAATCTTAGAAACTTCCGTTTATTCTCACTTCCACCCCTAACCCTGCCCATATTTCAGGGTGGGTCATTTCTGTCAGCCCTCACCAGTTTCACTAATCATTTCTTATACCATGTCCAGTTTGTTGCTAAGTTCATCTGTGATATACTTTTCATCTCTTACTATTTCCATTGGATTTTTATGATTTCTTTTCCTCTGCTTAATTACCTTTTTTCCTGGTATGTGTTTGGCTTTTGTTCTTTTGTTTTTTCACAGTAATGACATCTGACTCCTCTTTAAATTAATATTTACTTTGCCTTTTAAATAGAACTGCTTATTTTGCCACGTTTTACTGTTCTAGTTGTGTAAACTGTGACTACAGACTCCTCACATATTTCCATCCTTCCTACCTTGTCTCTGTTGCCACATTTACTTAGAGGTAAAAATATTTTCTCTATCTATTATATGTTTTATATTGAATGACTAAAAATAGTTTTTCAGTTATCTTTATTAATGCCAGGCATCATGGAACCTGTCTGTAACCCAACACTCAGGATTGCCAATTGTTCAAAGCTAGTATGACCCTAATCCCCCCCCCCAAAAAAAAGCCTAATTTGTAGATAAAATTTTGGGTGGTTTATCCAAATCAAGAACTTGTACAATTAGCAAATATATACATTGAGGAGAAGATACTGTTAGTTTCTAATGTCATTGTTGTTGTTCTTCAGGTTGAATCTCCAGTAATCTGTAAAATCCTAGATACAGCTGATGAAAATGGACTTCTTTCTCTCCCAAACTAAATTAAAATTGAAGGAAAAAAAGATGATTGAAAATCCTCACTTCCTCTTGACCATTGAGCCCTGTCTACAGTATCACATGAAAGGACTGGCAACCTCGATGTGAAATACATGTGTATATAAGAGGTCATTGATAAACTTGTAAGGCAGACATTTGTCTCACTTCATTTATTTTGGTGTTATATGAACTGATTTTGTTTTGACTTTGCTTGGATAGTGTGATTTCAAAATTGATTCAAGCAGAGTTCACCCCATTCAAATGTCATAATCTTGTACTTGTCGAAATACTTTTAAGTATAATACCAATTGTGTAAATTACAGCACATATAATGAGTGAAAGAAGTAAAGATAATGAAGAGAAGTTGCTAGGAGAGTGTTGGAATGAGAGGACATGTAAAATGTGTACAATTCTGTGGTAGCTGCTCTGGGCAGGCACTGAACTAGAAGTGGGACAGATGACTCAACACCACTTATATCTCAAGAGACTTTTTATGACAAGTTGCTCCTCTTCCCAAACTTTTATGATTCTTCTTATAAGTGACTTTATTACCAGTGTATAGGTTGGTGTCTTCCCAAAATTAGAATGGTTCATTCTAAAACTTACAGGGCTGGCTCTCTATGGTGCCTGTGTGCAATTATTATTATAGGTTATAAATCTTAATTCTGGACAGTTTTACAGCATAGTATTTATTTCTAAGAGAATAAAGTTTTCATAAGCAGTCTTTTCATGTAATCAATGACCAATTATTCAGTTCCTTTATTTTCTCTTTTATCGTTTTGCATATATTTTGTACATCCTGTCTGAACAAGTATAGAAAAGTAGCCATAAGGGGCTGAGGTGTGGATATTTCAGAGATAGGGCACCTTAGCATGTTAGAGGCCCTGGTTCAACCTCTAGCACCTAAAATAAAGAGCTGGATGTTAGGGTCCATGCCTTTGTTCCCAGTACTGAGTAGGCAGATGCAGAGGGATCAAAAGTTCAAGGCTAGCATGGCCTTATATGACAGTCAAATGAAAGAAATAAATAAGGCAAGGAATTTCAGCTTCCACATCCTACCTATACTGCTCCAGTCTACTGCTCTGGGTACCCTTCGTATCTCAATAGTTCAAAGGTATATATGGTATAACTGCCTGTAGGATCAGCCTCCAGCAGCACAAAGCTCAAATGGAATCCATAGAGTCAATTAGTACTATGACTTTTTTATCTGATGGGGTTAAGGGAAAAAGACACACACACTTTTGATGGTTTTCTTCAGACCTTTTTCTTCTGCATTCTCTACTCTTTGTTTTCCTGGTGATATCCTTCTCTTGTTCTTGATGTTTTCCTTCTAACTCTATTCTTCCTTGTTTTCTCATTCTTGATGTTTTCCTTCTAACTCTATCTTTATTCTTGATATGTTCCTTCTAATTCCTTCTCTCACTCTTGATGTTTTCCTTCTAAGTCATTTTAACTGTATCTTTTTCTTTCCCTTACAGCTCATATACCTGAGGAAAATCTTTCAGGCAATATAAAAATTACATTCAGTTTTTCAAGTGAACGATTACAGTGAATACAAGTAAAAAACAGCATGTTTCCCATATCCCTTACACTTTTTGTATTACAGGTAGAAAACAAATTATCCCAAGAACTCATGGGCACTCATACCCAAAAACTTGTTGTAGATTAGCAATGTGTAAGCAAGCAAAGTATTCTTTTACTGACAGGCTGCATTTTTTGGTTACAAAGAAAGGACCAATCACTTTATTACTTATATTGAAAGATAATCTTATAAGGAATCCCAAATCTAAACTTTTATATATGAAAAAGAATCAGTCAGCTCTACTTTAAATCTTTAGAATACATAACCATTCATTAATAGATTGAGGGCAAAAATGAGTACAAGGAATTAACCATCACCTTTGGTCATCAATCAATCCTAGCAAGAAAGGCATGCCAGCTAATAATAATTGGGCTGCTTTGTTCTTGTTCCCTGACCTTACAGAGTTCCTCATTCAACTATATGCTTTTCTAAAACTTTAGATTGTCTTCTTGGGATTTTCACTTCAGAGCTATTTAACAAAGTCATCTTAGTCTAATTTTAAGTTCTTTTCAAAGACTTGTTTCAGCTATGATCACATCATAGTTTTATATGTTGAGGGACTGGATACCCAGCTTCCTCTAAATGTAGCATTGTTTAGAAAATGGTCACTTTCCATATTAATTTTCATAGAAGTAATGGGATAGCTAAAATTATCTTTAAATACTTGTTTTCCTAATGTAGAACACCTTGAGGAGACAAGAGGACCAGAGGAGTAGGAGTGGGGACAAGGAAGATAATAGGAGCCAAGTGTGAGGAGATATAATGATTGTAGCTGAAAACATCAGAAAATATGGGACAGGCTTCATGGTTCAGATAACTAGATAGAATTTTAAGATATATGCTTTTTTATTGTTTAAAATGTTTTTATTGGCATGTGTTTATGTGTGTGGTTTGGGGTTTTGTAAAGACAATTTATTTCAAGTGTTTAACCCCATGTTGTTTCCTTTTCTTCCTTCCCTCCCACACCCAACCATCTTTTCCTTCCTCTGTCTTTACTTCTGCTTCCATATCATTCGTGTGTGTGTGTGTGTGTGTGTGTGTGTGTGTGTGTGTGTGTATGTAAATGGTTTTATATTGCTCTATAAGCTCTAGGATCTATAAATGAGAGAGTCTGGCTTAATTTTGCTTAATATGATGTGTTAAGCCTATTTTCCAGAAAATAATTTTTTCTTCATAATTGAATAAAATGACATTATGCAAATATAAAAAATAAAAAGGCTAAAAGAATGTAAGTGTGGTAGTGGTGAACGCCTTTAATCCCAGCACCTGGGAGGTAGAGGCAGGTGGATCTCAGGTAGACTGGTATACAAAGTGAATTCCAGGTGAATCAGGACTATATACAGAGAACCTGTCTTGAAAAAACAAAAAAAAAGAAAACAGAAGAAAAGAAAAAAAAAGCTAGCTGGGCTACTGAGACTCACATGTTTTTCTTTTTTTTTTTTTTTTTTTTTTTTTCCGTTGTTGTTTGGTTGGTTGGTTGGTTTTGAGAGAAGCTTTCTCTGTGTAACAGTCCTAACTGTCCTGGAACTCACTTTGTAGACCAGGTAAGATCTGTGTACCTCGGCCTCCCAAGTGCTGGAATTAAAGGCACGTACCAACACCACCTTTCTTTCTCTCTTCTTTTCTTTCTTTCTCTCTTCTTTTCTTTCTTTCTCTCTTCTTTTCTTTCTTTCTTTCTTTTTTCCTTTCCTTTTTCTTTTTCTTGGTTTTTCAAGACAGGGTTTGTTACAAGTAATTTTCCCACCAGCCTGCTTTACAGGTCATTGGTTTAAAAGATGACATAAATTGTGAAAGAGAAAGGAGTGGACTTTCTCTTTTCCTTTGGGCTCAGCGCAGGGGTGGGGCCTGTTCTCTTCCCAAGAGTACTTACTGCAGGCACAGAGCAGAGGGGATTCTCCCTGGGAGAACTATTTTCCCCTCCCAGTGTGCATCCCACGTAGATGGCAGGGACTATGAAAAGAGCCCAGCTTCTCCCCACTTCCACACAGGGACCAATCCTGACCCTGAGCAGGAGTCAGTCAACAAAACAAGCAAGTGTTCCCTGCTTCTAGAGTGGACAGGTGGAGGATGTGCGCATTTCTCTGGGTGACCTGGCAGAATCAAAAGGATTTGTTTCTCCAAAAACAGGAATTTCCCACATCAGAGAAAACCACTGGTTAATACAGGAAAACAGAACTGCAGAACTGACCAAAAAAAAACACATAAAGACACACACAGATAGGCAGACACACTGTAAAAACAACTAGGAGTGGCTACCACACATTCATACACTGGAATAGACAGGGGGTAAAGTGATGTCTCACATGGATTCTGGACACTGAATCAGCAACCACACCCAACCTCTCCTATGTGTCCAAACAGAAGGCTCCTTAACTAGACTTAACCTCCTGAGATGACAGACCAGACAACTGTCTAATTTGTTTCCTTTTGGGGTTGAAGTGTTAGACCCCTCTGAAGTGTTTGGCAGTGATTGAACACTGGAAACCTGGACCATCTCAGGTGTCCCTTTCTTGTTCCAAGGGGCTCTGAGACCTTCAATGTCTTAAGGTCTGGTCTCTGGGATCTTAGTGGGGCCTCCAGAAATGTTGTGGAGTGTTCACCAGAGAAAACTGCTTGAACATGTTTTTAAGCCAATAGAAGAAAGTCTTTATTAGCCACCTAGGGACTACAATGGATGTTTGGGACCCTGTTATAGCCCTGAGCCTTTTTTAGGGTGTACTTTTAAACAAAACAGTGTTCTGTGTTGACATACTTCAGTTAACAAGAATAGTTACCCAGAAGCCGAACCACAGAAGCCAAAATGCAAGGTCAGTACATTTAGAGACTTCTCCAAAACTATGGACTCTGATTAATTAGGCCTTTGTTTTCGTTGTGGTGGGTAGTGCTGTCTACATGCAAGTTTTACAGCCTGAATGGCACTTCCATCATGGAGTCAGTTGTGCTAAGTTCTGGGGGCCTGTTACACATGTCTCTAAAATTTCCAGGGCCTCTGCTATGATTCATTCATGACATATATATTCATGACAAAGGATCCAGACAACATCCCCAATTTGCCACTGATATTTCAAAAGTCATTAGATCTCCTGGATCATATAATCCAAGTGGTAGAACAGACTGCACAGCAGCCTAGACCTGTTAAAAAGCCTTCTCTTCCAGGTCCCACTCAAAACTAGGAGCTTTCCAAGCTCAGTATATGGGCAGGAGTAACACATCCAAGTGAGGAATGTGTTACCCCCAGAATCCAAATAGGCCCATGAAGCAATGTGTTTCTTTCTTGGTTGTAAGAGGGGCCAGAAGGAATATCTGTATATGTCTACTCAACTCCTAGAAAATTTACTGAAGAGGAAGGTTCCTATATTTTGAATAAATTTATATCCCATCTTACGATTTGCATCTGCTTTGCCAGTAAGTCTAGGCTATCTCCTGCTCACTTGGTCTAGTCAGCATCATGTCATCAATATAATGGGCCATTGTAGTACCTTGTACTACTCAAGACCACTGCAAACAGCTATGATACAAGGCTGGAGAATTAGTATACTCAATGTGTAACAGTGAAAGTATACAGTTGTCTTTGCCAGCTGAAAGCAAATGACTTCTGGTTATAATGTAAACCAGTAGACAGGTAAATAGAGAAAAAAAAAAAAAAAGCATTGGCCAGGCATTATGACTCATGCCTTTAATCCCAGCACTCAGGAGGCAGAGGCAGGCAGATCTCTGTGAGTTTGAGGCCACCTGGTCTACAGAGCAAATTCCAGGACAGACTCCAAAGCAATACAGAGACCCTGTCTTGAAAACCAAAAAAAAAAAAAAAAAAAAAAAAAAAATTCAATAGTTACATATACCACTATGTATAGTTCCGTTCAGTTATTGATTATTTGACTAACTTACTCAAAAGTTGTTTACTATCAGGCATAATTACTCACACCTATAATCCCTGTCAAAGAGTTTGATTTCAACTTGGCCTACACAAAAAAGTTCAAGGCTAGCCTGAACTCAAATATGAGATCATATCTTAAAACAAACACAGGCCCAATAGAGTCAAGGACTCACAGGTGTGAGGGATGTTCCTAATAGAGCTTTATTCTTGTGGGAAGACAGTTATAATGATTAGTAATATAATATAGTAATAATAGTAAGTAATTACCCATAACTA